TCATGCAACCACAATGAAACTTGAATAACATAAGCTTGAAGTTTTTATACAGGTCTATATTAACTTTGATAACAAAAATGAATATTGTTTGTACGTAATGGGTATTTTTTCCATAAATCTATACTTATATAATAAGAATTAACATTTATCAAAATTAGTAACTTAATTAATGGTCAAAGTCAGTTTTGCATTTATTACTTTCCAAAATCGGTAACTCTTTTATGTCCATTTTACACACCTTATTAAGTCAGCATTTATGTCCTTTTCACACGCCTTTTAAACTCATTAATTATACCGATTTAATTCTCATCTTTTAAACTCATTAATTATATCGATTTAATTCTCATGAAATAACCCCGATTCACACCCTCATTAATAGCGTCCTTATCGCATACTTTTTTATGGTAACGAAATAATCTCATTTCACACGAGCATCCTTATCACATATTTTTTTAAGGTAACGAAATAATCTCATTTCACACGCCTTTTAAACATATTTTTTTAACGATAAATTGAAGAAAAAAAAATCGTATTATAAGGAGAAAAATATTTGGGATAATTTTAAAATTAAAAAACAAAATCCGTATTATGAGGAGAAGATATTTCATACACCTTATCAATATTCAAAACTGATATTAAAAATTGTTATTTATTTCCTAAAACAAATACACGTGTTGAATTATTATCTCTAAAAAATTATAAAGAATATACGCATATATAAATATGTACATATACACATATTAAATTTAAATATTTGTAGATATATTTTCTTTACAAAATAATCTAGAAAAATCTCTTTTACACAATGTTAAATTCAAATGTTCTTAGATATGTTTTTCTTCTAAAATTGTTTAGAAAAGTTGTAGGTGACTTCACATCTTTCAAAAATAATATAGAAAATTTTGAATACTTTTACATATATACTAATATAATATTTTAGGTGTTTTTAATATTAAACATACAAATTTTATATTCTCTTATATAAAATAATGTAAATTTCATATTTTCTTATACAAAATAATTTTACATTGTTTGACCCCGAATATTTAATTTATAATTATTAATTATTGTTTATCTTTCTCTTTAATTTATAATTATTTTTTTTTCTTCCTCTTTTTAAATAGGATCAATAGTATTTTCCACTTCCGTCAGTGACTCAAACTCGAGATCTATTTATAATATTATTAATTTAATATTGTTTCCGTGCATTGCACGGGGTACACACTAGTTTCATTAAATTAAGTTTTGTGAATTTATTACTAGTTGAAGATAATTTTAAGTGAAAATTTTTGGAAATGTATTTAAAAGGTACCATATTTACTGCATATTTACATACATAGACGGATCCACATGGGGTCCAGGGGGAACATGGACCCCCTCATTTTTTTTAAATATCATTATATATATACATATAAAAAAACACTATAAAATATGGACAAACATGAAAAAAAATATTTATAATATATAAATAATTAATAATTAGTTTTTATGATATTTTAATTTAAATTAATATAAATAATTAAAACTTAGTTTTTATGCTATTTATTGAAAAATATACTAACGTTCTTTATATTTTACATTATCAGATAAATTTTTAAACATATTTATAATGATTTACTCTTTCGGCCTCTTAATTGTAAATCGATTTAGTGATTTACAAAAGCGAGTATTTAGTTCGATTGTTAGATTTTTAAATGTTTACTATTTACTTTTTTTTTGTGTAATCACATATTTTTAATTTTATTTTTTTTAAAAAAAAATGGTCGTTTGATAAGCTCTAATCAACAAAAATGCAATGCAACGTACCGTAAATGTTGAATTTAAATCAAAAAACTATTTTTTTTTTTATAAATTATAGATGTTGAAATTAAATTATAAATACATGAAATCTCTATTTTTGTTTATTTTTGTAAAATTTTGATGGTGATATAGATTCTAAATTTTTTAAAACTTAATGTTACATATATCAATATTTATGTTTATAACTAAACACATTTTTATATGAAATGAGCGTTTTGACTTAAACTACAAGCTCGTTATTTTGTATTTAAATTGGACCCCTGAATAAAAATCTTAGATCCGTCACTGTTTATGTATTATATGGCATATTTCTAGACCGTATAGGCTCTAAAACTTTTGGCCCAGACAATAACTAATAAGCTTTGACTGTTAGTTCACAGAAAACATGTGCTACTCTCCAATCCTCCATATTTGTCCCAAACTAGCTTCAAACTGCTGTTATCACTGAATACATTAATTTTTTGTTGGGAATTTGTAGTACAACAATGTCCAAAACTTTCGTATGTTCAATTGTACTGTAATTCGCTGTACGAAAAAGTGAATCATTGGTTATTGCTCGTTCTTTAACATTTTTTTGATAATGAGCAGCAGCTTGTGGTGGAGAGAGAAAGAGGGGATGCAGAAGACATTTTTGGAGTTGGGTTTGGGTCAGTTGGTTTCTTTGAACTTGGCAGTGATGTCATTTACGGCTTCTTTAATCTCCATTGAAGGTAATAAAATCAATTGCTTTATTTCTTCATTTTCTTCTCTAAAGATACTCACTCTTTGATTTGCTTTAGGTGGGTGATTTTTTTTTTATTTTTTTTATTTTTTTTCTTCATTTTTTTTGGTTAGATTTCATGTTTGTTTTGTAGTCCAATATCCTTCATATTTTTTTTCTTTTAGTATTTTTGTCTTTTTTTCTTTAGAATATGAAGATTCTATTATCATCTTTTATACCTAACTTTATTCAATTAGGCTGGTTATACAGTGGATACACCTCTTATATTATAAAATGTCATACTTTTATTTACGTTTGATTTTTAATGTATTTCATCTGGATATGAAATTATGTACATCTGTTGAGAAGTATCTAACAATTAATCCATGTAACAATAGCACTATTGTTTTAAAGTCTACTAGTAATCACCTGTGCGATACACGGGGAAATTATTACCTATATGCTTTTTAAGATGCACTTTTGTATATAAATTATGTAATAATGCAATGATCATGATCATAAGAATAGACATATAAACATATAATTAGACTGAAAAGATCATATATTATTGAACACTTCTCTATATACAACATTATTGGTTTGATTCTTTGGCATGTCATCTTCGCCAAAAATTAAGATTTTCAAACATTTTCGGTTAGTGACATGTGAGACAACAACATATAACTGGTCATGACTGAACACTGGTTTTCTTAAGAAATAAGCAAACATGAGATAAGGATTGTCCTTGTCTTTTGTTTATAGTCATGGCGCAAGAAACCATAATGGGAAACTGTCGCTGCTGGAACTTGAAAGGAATTCTAACATCAGAAGGAGTTATGACCATTCTTGGAATCAGCACCTTATCACCAGCATGATCTCTTGTGAGTATCTTACACTCAAGAACATGACTGGATAGCTTTGTCACAACCAATCGTGTCCCATTACACAAACCCATGAAATGATCCATGTTCCGCAACATGACCGGAGTTCTAATTTTCAAATACAACTCATGGTTCGGTATTCCAGAACACTTGATACTATTCAAAAACTCAGGCGTATGGAGATCAGACAAAAAATCATTATTAGAATCCGATTTGCATGTACTGTCAGAACTCAAGTACATACGACCATCCAACAAATTCAATGATGTCATGTACTCATTGATAGACTGGGCCACATCCAACGTCGGCCCTAAAATTCAAATTACAAATCAACTTCTAATTTTTCAAAGAATTTTAAAAAAGTTATAAATTGTAGTAAAATCTAAAATTTGCGAGAACTTTTTTTCAACTTAAAGTAAATCCCTATTGTTATTTTATAGTATAGATTGAATTTCCAAAAGAACTAAGTCAAAGGTTTTGACTCAATTTTTTTATCAAGTTTCTATAAATGATTTTTTAATCAACCTCTTTCAATATATATATATATATATATATATAGATATATAAGTACATATATATATATATATATATATATAAAATATAGATATATAAGTACATATATAGTACTCCCTCCTTTTTTTAATAAGTATCGTTTTGAAAAGTTGTACAGTAATTAAGAATTTCTTTTGTCAATAATTACCCTCATTAATGAGGATAGAGATGAATGTTTTGAGAAAAGATGAAGATTGAATATGAAAAGATGCAGTGTATTTATTAGCTAGATTGGGGTAATAATGAAAAAATATGTACAAAAGATCCAAAACGTCATTTATTTGGTTAATTGTTAATAAAGCCAAAATGACATTTAAAAAAAAAGGAGGTAGTATCTATTAATAAATAAAAAAACAAAGAATTTACTATATATAATAATTTAAAACTTACCAAGAATGTTTAAATTACTTATAACCAAACTTGTTTTATATGGCTTGATATTACATTTACATTGATATATTTTGATCTCCTACAATCATGCTCCCTAAGTAACTAATAAATTAGATATCCTTGCTGTATATATTTCACATGTGACCTTTCAATTCGGAAAGAATCAATTGACATTATCCTCATCCACAATTCAACATCATCCTCCCGGGTTTTTTTGTTAAGAAATTGATTCGAATATTGCTTTTAAATCTCATTTTTTTACTCAAATTGCACGTGCTTTTTAACAAATTTTTCTAAATTAGTAAGTCAAACAAATTAATTAATAAGTCAAAAATTCTATTTAAGTATTTTTCCAACAACCTTTTTATATATATTAAAAAGAATCATTATTTACTCCTGACAATGAAGCCGATTTTCCTACCAATATACTGATTTTTTATCAAACAAATTGATCCGAATATTTTTGTAAACCAAATAAAAAATCATCAATTTTTCTTAAAAATGCAACCGAATTTTCCTAACACTGCACCGATTTTTTTACCAAACAAATTGAATTGAAAATAATTTTAATAAAAAATTGAAACAATTTGTTAATGTTTATGCAACTGTCTCTTTCCTAAAGAAAATGATATGAACTTAACAAAAAAAAAAAATGATCTGAACTTACCAAAATCTCGGTAAAACATGGTTAAGAAAAAACATAAGAATCTAAAAAAATCGATGAAATTAAATTTTGAAAAGTTGCACACAATTTTTCATAAATAATTGGGTAAGGTGACTTTAAATATCAAAGATGAACCGCTTTTGTTACCAAAAATGTGGACACAGTTTTGAATGTACATCCGTCCAAATATCAGTTTTATTCTAAAATAAAAATTGCACGTGGTTTTATCCAATTTACACACTTTTTTTTTTGAAAAAAAAATATTCAATAAGATTGGAAGAATTGGTTAATAATTACACAACTATTTGTTTCCTAAATTCGTATCCAATTTGTACGGTTTTAAGTTAATTTGTATTTAGAATTGTTTTCATAAATAATTGACACATGTTTTGCATAAGAATCTCCAAATTTGTTACCAAAATATATGATTTAAATTTTGGTAAAAAAAAAATTAAATATGATGTGAAAAAAATGGGATTCAAATTTTGCCATAAGAATCTCCAAATTAGTTACCAAAAAAATATGATTCAAATTTTGTTACTAAAGATTCACATGTATTTTTTCGAACTTTCCATTTATAGTAAGTCAATTGTTTTATTTATTAGGTCAAGCTTTCTATTAATGTATTTTTTCAACAACCTCTTTATATATATATAGACATATATAGATATAGATTTGCACCTAACATGATTCAATTTGGCTCATTATACAGTGGATGCTCCTCTTGCACTGTCATTCTCAACATATTTGTCCTTAGCTGTGGTGTATGGGAGTGTTATGTTATACCATCGCCAAAATTTGTTGGTAAAATACATTTTTCCTCACCAATACGCGTTCGAACTGCTTGTTAAATTTTAAACAACTAACTAACACATTGTTGAATATAATTATGATTCAAACAATCTCGAAATGTAGGTTTCTTGGTATTGGTATGTTCTCCTTGCGTTTGTTGACGTCCACGGCAATTATTTCGGTAAATCTTACCTTTGATACTCTGTTAATTGATGCAGTAATTATTCAAATTTGGATAAGACACTGATATTCACTTTTTTTTGGTACTATTTTCTTACTGCAGTTAACAAAGCATTCCAATTCACGTCGATCACAAGTGTGACGATCCTGGATTGTTGGACGATAGCTTGGGCAATTATTCTCACATGGATTTTCTTAGGAACGAAATATTCCGCTTGGCAATTTTTTGGTGCAGCAATTTGCGTGGCTGGCCTTGGCCTCGTTCTTCTTTCTGATGCGCGTTCGGGTAGTGGTAGTGGTGGAGGTGAAATTCAAACGACCCTTTTTCTGCAGACAAATGAAATCCTTCTCCTGTAAAAAAACTTGCTATGTTTGGTAGACAAATGAGTTAGCTTATAGCTTATTTGGTTAGCTTATAAACTTCTTGTATTGAAATAAGATTCGTTTGGTAGGATGGACCTTTTTAAAAAGATCGAGCTTACCTCACAAACTTCTTTGGGTAGCTTTTCAAATAAGCTCGTTGAAATTTTTAATTTCAGCTAATTTTACCAAACACTTTTATCATATAAGCTAGCTTTTCAACTGTAAGTCATAAGCAATAAGCTATAAGTTCAAAAATTACTAATAAGCTATAAGCTAATTTATCAGCTATCAGCTAACTTATCAGCTAGTTTTACCAAACATAGCCTTCGCCTAATTGAAATAAAAGGCCATGAGCTTTTGAAAATATTACTAATATTCCCTTTGTTTTCAGGTGGTTCGAATCCTCTTTTGGGTGATTTTCTCGTCATAACAGGCACGATATTATTTGCAATGAGCAATGTTGGTGAGGTTGGTTTATAATAAGATAACAGATATTAATTAGGCTATGAAAAAAGTTTTGTTGTTTTTACGAATGGGTCTGCCTTTTTAGTTTCTTCCTTTTTGATCGATATATATATATAGGAATTTTGTGCGAAGAAGAAAGATCTTACTGAAGTAATAGCAATGATTGGTCTGTTTGGTATGCTCGTTAGTGCATCCGAGATGTATCCTTTTCAAACTATATTCACAAACTTCATCCATAAGCTTTCTACGTATATATTTTTTTTTATTTTAAACTATATTCCTTGACTTTCTTCTTAGTCCTGTCCTGGAGAGGAAGGCCCTGATGTCGATTAATTGGTCTGCTGGACTTGTAAGTAAAAATAAATAAAATAAAATAAAGATATAAGACTTGTGTTAATTCCAATGCAGATTATTTTCGTCTCATTCAATCGTGTTCGCTTCTAAATGTGATTTTCATTTTTATCATCATTTTTTTTTTTTTTTGCCTTTGTTGTTTTCAGGTGTCGGCATATGCTGGTTATGCATTGTCGAGCTTTCTGTTCTACACGCTTGCTCCTTTTGTTCTCAAGGCTAGTTGAATGTTCATTATGCATATCATGCATAAAATAATAAATTTCATGGAAAAAAAACTACAAAATCGAACCTATCTTCCTTAAAACGTCTTTTCTAGTCGATCATGCGTTAAGACGAATTATGTTTTATACAGATAAGCGGAGCCACACTGTTCAATCTTTCCCTTCTTACATCCGACATTTGGGCAGTTGTAGTTAGAACATTCATCTACAAGCAGAAGGTTTATTATTATTTTTATTTGCTTTCGAGTTTCTTTTTATATGTACTTTGTTTAATGATATTTCTTTTGCAAATTTTTCCGCCTTTAAAAACGTGCAGGTTGATTGGTTATATTATCCGGCCTTTCTGCTCGTCGTGGCCGGGATTTTCATATATTCGAAAACGTGAGATTTACCTACAATTTACTAAAACCTCTTTGTATTTTAAAAATATCCTAAACTTGTAGCAATCATATTAATGAAGATGATATTTTGCACAACAGAGAGAAGGGCCCAGAGAGGAGTCCAGACATTGAGAATACAAATTTTGACCCAGAATATCATCACCTCATTGGGGAAGAAAATTCTAGTCCTGTGAAATGATTATGTTCTTACTAATTCATTAAGAAATTAATTTTTATACCAAGTGGATGTAATTTTTATTTTATTTTTTTCAGCATATTGGATTTCTTGTTGTGTCCATAAATAAAATTAGCTTATGTATTTTGTTGTTTTTAAGGATATTGGTGCCACTGGATATGCTTTTTTGCTTTGAAAATCATGAAAAATTGTTTTTAAGGAATTAGGATTGATTACTTCGGTGTATTTGTACCATATAAACTTGAAGAACAAATGCAAAGAAGCAGTATTAACAACTATTTCAAATATAAATTACATAATGTTAACATGCTAAAAGTAAAACTATGTGAATTATTGAAAAATATCAAAATGTTTATAACATATATTGACAAAATTAAAAATATGAGAATGTTGATAGGTATTTATCAGTTACATAATTAATTGAGANGTACAGACTTAAGTTCAATCCCACTGGGCTTACAACCTGCCAGAGGATGAAGATAATACAAAAAAGAAAACTACAAAGGAACAAAAAAAACCTACATTATACAATTCTCAAATTTACATAAAAAAGCAAGCAGCTACAAAACAAAATGAATGGCAGGTAACACATCATCAAAAGAAGCTGCTGCATAACAAGAAGATATAAGAACAACCACTGGCTTGAAAATCCCTAGCTCTTCTCCCATCTTCTTGAGTACAAAAATGATCTACTAGCAAGGAAAGCACCACTGGGAACTAAGACCCCTAGTTCAAACCTTACCAAGCAGACTGAACTAAGCAAAAAGAGGCTGATTAAGAACAGAGAACTCCTGCCATTCCTCCAAAGCTCCATCAATAACTTGTTTCTCGGATTTCCAAAGTCCTTCAAACACCTACAAATTCCTGATTTTCCATAACCACCAAAGAATATACACTGAGACATGAACTCTATTATGGTAGTTAGGCATTTTCCTATCTGAAACTAAAACAAGCCACCAATCAGTGAAGTTCTGATCTTCATTGCATCTCTTGAACCAAGTAACTGGGGATAATTTCCAAACCAAGACAGCTCGTGAACAAGTAAAAAATATGTGTTCCACGCTTTCTGCCTCTTCGCCACACATAGGACAAATGGAACAATTCACCTGCTTTTGCCTCAAAAGATTATCTCCTGTTGCCAAGCTATTATTAAGACATCGCCAAATAAAATGTTTTAATTTATTTTTAACTTTAAGGCTCTAGACTGCATCCCATTTTTTCTTGACCTGTTTCCCTGTCCTACTGCCTTCAGGTGTATCGAGCCTGCTTTTATGATACTTTGAGATGATCATTTTTGCCGATTTTACACTGAAGATTCCATTCTTTTCCCAATGCCAAATTGGTACATCATCAGCTTCCAGATTGTTGAGAGGAGTCTGCACAATTGCTTCCACATCAAAAGGATGAAAATTCTGATAATAATATTCCTGTTCCAACATTTATTCTGAAAGTCAATTAGCTGGTTAACCCAAATTAAAGTAGGATCATTACAGTAACCAACTAACAAACAGAATTTTGGATTAGATGGGATCCAAGGAGTGTTTCTGATTTTTACACTCTTGCCATTTCCAAGTTGCCATCTGAGACCCAACAACAGCAACCTATGAATTTTTTGCATACCATTCCAAAACCAGGATTTATTGTGCTTTGTTCTTAGTTCAAGCCACCATTCATCCCCCATGTATTTAGCTCGAATCACTTTACTCAATAAAGAGTCCACATCTGTAAGCAATTTGACTAGGAGAGCTTCATTGTTAATTTGTAAATTCTGAAAGCCCAAACCGCCTTCACCCCGAGGCAATGATAATCTATCCCATTTTAACCAGTGGAGCTTTCTATTACCTAATTTATTATCATCCCACCAAAAGTTGGCTGCTAACTTGTTCAGAGAATTACAACAACTCTTGGGAAGTTTAAAGCATGACTTCTTTACAAATTTGAGTAAGACTTCTTTACCAGCAATAGCCACTGATTTGAGTAAGACTTCTTTACCAGCAGGACTCAATAGAAGATTTTTCCAATTACACAGTTTCTGATTGACCTTGTCATTCACAAACTTGAACACTTCTTTTTTGTTTTTCCCGATAACAAGGGGCAGACCAAGATAAAAGGAATGGTAATTCTCTTTGACATTTCCTAACAAATAACACAAAGCCTGCTTCAACATAATGGGAGTGTTTTTACTGAAGTAACAAGATGATTTCTCAAAATTCACAACCTGACCTGAATTCTTCCAATAAATATCCAGGATGTGCTTAATTACCTTCACCTGAGTCACATCAGCTTTGCAGAACAAAATCGTATCATCGGCAAAAAATAAGTGAGATATCACTGGAGCATTTCTATGTAATTTCAGACCATCAAGCTTTGCCTGCAAAGTTGCTTTCTTCAAATGAAAAGATAAGACTTCGGATATTAAAATGAACAAAAAGGGGGAGAGAGGGTCCCCTTGTCTGATTCCCCTGCTAGGAAGCACAAACCCTTTGCTCTGACCATTAATTTTAAAAGAGAACGATGAAGTACTCAGACAAACCCAAATCCAATTCACAAAAACTTCTAAAAACCCCAATTTTTTTATAACAGCAATGAGAAATACCCACTCTACCCTGTCAAAAGCTTTGGACATGTCCAATTTGATAGCCATAAAACTGTCCTTCCTATATCTACAATTTTTCAGAAAGTGGAAACATTCGTGAGCAATAACTATATTGTCCAAAATTTGTCTCCCCGGAACGAATGCAGATTGACTCTCCCAAATGCAAATACTGATCACACTTCTAATCCTATTAGATAAAATTTTGGAGATTACCTTATAAACAACATTACAAAGACTAATGGGACGAAAATGCCCTATTCTACAAGGATTGTCAATTTTGGGTATTAAGGTAACTAAAGTTTGATTAATGCACTTAGGAAGTTTGCAAGAGATGAAAAAGTTTTGGACTGCAGCACAAAAATCAAATTTGATAAGGGACCAAAAAGATTGAAAGAAGATAGGAGACATACCATCCATACCTGGAGATTTGTTTGGGTGAAGTTGAAACAGAGCCTTTTTAATTTCATCTTCCGTCACTTCACTGGTCAAATCTTGATTCATTGTGGAAGAAATCTGTTCAGGTATCCCCTCTAAGACCCTGTAATCAACCTCCTTTAATGTTGACTGAAAAAGGTTCTGAAATGTAGTAGAGATTTCTTCTAAAATTGCTTTTTCAGAGCTACAAACCACTTCATCTTCCCTCACCAGCTGATCAATATTATTTCTTCTTCTTCTTTGCACAGTAAATGAGTGAAAAAATCTGGTATTTTTATCACCATCTCTCAACCAGTTTATTCGAGATTTATCCTTCCAATAAGTTTCTTCCTTTTCATAAGCCTTCGACAGCTTCAGCTTTTCAGATTTCCACTTAGCCCAATCTCTTTGGTTCCCTTCTTCACAAAGCCTTTGCAGTTCATGTTGGCATTCCTTTATGCAAATGGCTAAATTAGTTTTTGCCTTCTTCTTCCATTTCAGTAATTCAAATCTACGATTTTGAATTTTTGAGTGCAATTTGAATAGAGGATAACCTAGAACATTTCTTTTCCATGCTTCTTCTACCACATCTTTGATTCCTTCAATCTTCAGCCATCGCCTATCAAAGCAAAACTTTCTCTTCTTTTTCTTCGTTTTTTCATCAGTTTCCATCAAGAGAAGAAAATGATCAGATGAAGTTTGTAGTACATGAGTTACACAAGAATTAGGAAATTTAATCATCCAATCTTTGGATCCAAATCCTCTGTCAAGCCGTTCTTCAATGAAATCAGTCCCTTGCCTCAAGTTGCTCCATGTAAAAGGATGCCCTTTGAATGCAATTTCAGCCATCCCCATGTCAGATATGAACTCCAAGAACCCTTCAAAGCTTGAATTTGGTCTGTCCCTACCCCCATTGTTATCAGAGTTGGAAGTTAAATCATTGAATTCTCCTCCCATCCACCAAAGCTGCCCCACTGATCCTTGTCTTTAATGAGATCCATCCATTGCAAAGACCTTATAATGCTCTCTGTATTGGCATAGACAAAAATTAGCCAAAAGGGTTCGGATAAGCCTTCCCATCTGCAATGAAGTTGAATGCAAAACTCCTTAAGAACATAATCCAAAACAGTGATGTGAGCTGACCAAAACACCAACAACCCTCCTTTTTTACCCTGAGGATCAACCACCAACCACCTATCTCTAACCCCCAAATTCTTGCAAACAATTTGGATAAATTTTTTGTTTTTTTTTGGTTTCACTCAAAAATCCGACCTCCGGGGAGTGGAGTCTACACACCTCCTTCAACTGGGGAATTGTAGAGGGGCTCCCCAAACCTTTACAATTCCACACCGCTACCTTCATTGTGAATTGGGGACCCAGAAAAGGCTGGATCCCTCCCCTTCCAATCGCCTACTCGCATTGTGTTGCATCTCCCCATCTCTTCGTGATTTTTTCCCTACTTCTTTATTATCTTCTTCATCACTCTCAACATATAACCGTTCTCTCTTTTTTCCTTTGTGAGTAAAATCCTCCTCAACTCCAATTACCTGAGATTGAATTGAGACCAATTAAATGTTGTAAATTTTGATAAGAAATTTTGTTGTAAATTGAGACCAACTATTTCAATCAACGTGCATGATAAAAATTGGCCATGGGTACCATCATAATTACTGATGCTACTTTTTCCAATTGAAAGGGAAATCTTATGTTACAACAAACACAGTAACAATATACGGCCTACATAAAAGTCATTGCTCGCAAATACGCCATTCGTCGAGGCGCCACCCAAAGATATATATACTACACACAGTCCCCCCCTCTTTATTTATTTATTTATTTTTTTTCCTAACTAGACAATAAAAAAATGCTGCTCAACTGTCCTCAAAAAAAGAATTATTTTCATCTTCCCAAATTATGAATTCTGAAAAGTTAAATAGGGATAGTAATAGTACATTATTTGAGCTTCCTCATTTTATCCTTCTTCTATAAAATTAAGAAAAAAACAATTATATCATTTATAACTTCAATAAATTATTTTGATAATGAGCAGCAGCTGGTGGAGATCAGAGAATGAGGGGCTAAGCAGGACATTTTTTGAGCTGGGCTTAGGACAATTAATTTCTTTTACCTTGGCACTTATGACCTTTACTTCTTCCTTAGTTGCCATTCAAGATAATTAATTCTCTTTCTTGCATAAAGTTCTTGAAGATTTATTTATTTATTCAATGTTCATGAGAAATTATTTAGAGTTAATGTGCTGTCAGTTGTTCATTTTTTGATTATTGTTTTTACAGTGGATGCACCACTTACTCTGTCCTTCTCAACTTACATGTCCCTGACTATGGTGTATGGGAGCATTTTGATATACCGACGTCACAAATTGTTGGTAAAAAAAAGTTATATATATACAATAAATTAGTGAAAATTAGTGAAAATAGGTTGCACAAAAGATAGACCTTTTTTAGTAATTTATCAAGAATTACCGTACAAATTTTTTATGTGAATGTCAGGTCCCTTGGTATTGGTATGTTAACCTGGGATTTGTTGACATTCACGGCAAATATCTTGGTAAATATGACATATTCTTAAGTCAGCACACATAATAAAAATAAACAGAAAAAATGGGAGTTAATTCAGTATGTTTAGAATTGGTATGTGATTTCCTAATTCAGAATTATGTTTCAAATCATGTTTTATTTCATTGAATGAATAACACATAATTATTAACGTGTCAATCATTCAACAGAATAAAAGATGAATTTGAATATAATTTTGAAATATGAACTCTTTTCCGTTTCGAAACTTGATTTGCTCTAAAAGGTGCTTGATTTGCTCTAAAAGGTGTTGATTTTAAGGAGACACCCTTCAACATGTTTACACTTTAATTTCATGGTGTTTTATTTTCCTTTTTTTACCATTTTCTTCATAACAGTTAACAAATCATTCCAATTTACATCAATTACAAGTGTTACAATCCTGGATTGTTGGACAATAGCATGGGCATGGATTTTCCTCGGCACAAAATACTCGATTCGTCAGTTTTTGGGTTCGGCTATTTGTGTTGCCGGCCTCAGCCTAGTCCTCCTTTCTGATGCCAGAGTTGCCGGTGGAGTTGAACTTTTCTGGCTCCTTTATAAAAAGAAAAAAAAAAATATATATATATATGTATATATATATATGACTTTCAATCAAATTAAATGTCGAATTTATTATTTCTAAATACTTTTGTTTCATCAGGTGGTTCCAATCCTGTGTTGGGTGATTCTCTTGTGATCGCAGGCTCGTTTTTTTACGCGATAAGCAATGTTGGAGAGGTCTGTTAGTTATTTAAGACGTGAAAGTATCTTACACTTTTTCTTTTTCTTTTTTTTTTTTTCCNTTTTTTAGCAAATTTTGATTGTGATATCAGGAATTTCGTGTGAAGGAAAAAGATCAAATTGAGGCAGTTGCTATGATAGGAATGTTCGGCATGCTCGTTAGTGCATCCGAGATGTATCCTTTCACAAAACACTTTTAAAAGATCGTTAATCGTCATTTTATTTAGATTATTAGTGTCTTAATCTTGACCTTTTCGTGTTAGCACTGTCCTTGAGAGGAAGGCCTTCGAGTCGGTCAAATAGTCTGCTGTGCTTGTAAGTATTGACTCTAATGCGATTAGTTTATAATATTATGATTTAATTAATTTTATGTGTCATTGTTGTTTTTCTCCAGATTTCAGCTTATGCTTGTTATGCAGTGGCAAGCTTTCTGTTCCATTCAATTCTCCTATTTGTTCTCAAGGCTAGTTTCTAAATCTTTAATAAATAATTTTTCATAATTTGAATTGCATGAAATAATTTTAATAAACAATAATTGATGATAACAGATGAGTGGATCCACATTGTTCAATCTTTCCCTTCTTACATCAGATATGTGGGCTGTTGTGATAAGAACATTCTTCTACAAGCAAACGGTAACTATAATGTTTATG